CGTGCTCGGGCGCTATTTTTGGGTAAACATTATCTGGTCATTAACACATAGTAGGAAGAATTGCCTCCCCCCCCCCACCCCACACCTCTCCGCGTTTCCCAACTAAGGTCGAACGCATCTGCCTCCCTGAAAGCAAATCGACGAAAACCCTCAACAAAGTGTTCTCAAATTCAACTGACATTTTCTTATATTATTGAGGATTCCACTTCTATTGAAACTGGCAATGCAAATTTATATTACGTAGAAATGACTAAATTCCTGTAGAGTCCGTGGATGTTACAGATTGGTAAGAGTTCTAGTTCTACGGGGCTCGGAACTGCATAAAGTCATATGAACGTGCGGGACTGAAGTTGATTTTGTGTTTGTGGCACTGCAGCAGATTAAAATTCTAACAGCTTACGAGTCTCTCATCCCTTGTTGGCTGCGCAATCCCCCTCCCCTCAACACACAAACACACGCAGTTATACATATGCACACACATGAACACAGACACCCACACATACACACATTCACACACACACACACACACACTCTCTCTCTCTCTCTCACACACACACACACACACACACACACACACACGCATGCGATACACTGACTCTGTTTATCGGTATCTTGGTTTTGCATGATTATCTACCTCCTGCTCCTCGTTCCCAAACCCCTTAAAAGAAGCACGACATTATTCGTTCTCTTGAATCAATTCTAATCTATTTCATTTTGTCCCGTGCAATTTTTCCTTCTGTATTACCCAACATTACGTAATTTCCTTTGAAGAGCATACTTGGCAGTTACTGACTCATAAACCTGAACAACAAAGCTTGTTGTCTTCATCCGCCCAAAAACAACAACAACAACAACAACAACCCTAAAACAATAACAACAAAACCCACCCTCCCCTCCGCACCCTGCATTTTTCTTGACGGATTGAATTGACTTCTCCTTTCTAACTTTCTTGTTTCTCCTTCTACATAAATTGGGTTAGATCTTAGGATACTTTAAAGACCCATCTCACTGAATCGAGTCAATATTTCTGTGCACTCACGCTATTTTGAAACAAAAAAACCCTACATAATCCAGTAGTTACATGTATGACTTAAAAGAACTGCCTCATAGAACCGAGACAGTATTCCTGTGCCCTGACGCTACTTCAAACTACAAAGCCACCACGTCTTCGTCCCAAAATAACTCGTGCTGTTGCGTAACGTCGGCGACAAACGTCCTTTTAACTCAATTTTAAGTAGTTTGGTTTGCTCTGCGTCTGTCTCGCATTTTCAACCGGCGTCTGTAGTTTAGTGATCAGGAGGTTCACCGTTGCAAGCAGAAGACCCGAGTTTGATTCTCGTGTGGGAACAAAGTTTATTGCTAATCTCTGACTTTCTGCTGGGATATTGTGTCCCTCTCATGTAGGAACGGCCCCGACAGAAAGGGTCAAATCCCGCATCCTAAATGACCTAAATTTTAATTGTGTCAGTGGGTCGCAAAGACAACTAAATTTGAACAAAAAATATGAAAAAAAACCAGACAAACGAATTTTCAAATCTTTCGACTATTCAAGAGACTGAACGATGAGGAGGGTCATGAGCATTTCTTTAAAAAACAAAAGTAAAGGAATTTCTCGTTGGGGATTCGAACAAGGGTTGCAGGTATCGCAGTTCAGTACTAGGTGGCCAAAAAGAACTGCTTTTAAACAAAAATTCTACTCTTTTATCTTTATTTCAAAATCTCTCGCCATGCTATGCAAGACTGTCGATGTACTCTTTACACTGCGCAGCACTGCAAGGCATTTTTAGAAATCCAGATCGGGTGTAAGGATCGCCTGATTGATCTCTTTGGAGGAAGGAAGGTGGGCGTAATGGAAGGAAACTGGGACCATGTTGAGCAAGCTATTGGCAAAGCTGTTTAAAAGAACAAAATGCATCTTGAAGAAAGACATTATCATGTTGTTAAATAAAAAAAATCCTTTTTTTTTTCCAAAACAGAAAGTTTCTGATTGGAAATGACGACACATCGCAGTTTTGTTCTATCTGAAATTTTGATACCAGTTAAGAAAGAAAAGCGACTATTTTTTCACTGTTTCAATAAGCGTCTTATTTGTTAAGAATTTTATTACGAGTTTACAGAAATGCAAATAACGTTTTCTGCTGATTTCGAAGAGCGTCTTATTGCTTATCTGATACCAGTTCAGATAAGTACAAATAACGCTTTGTTACCATTTCGACAAGCACCTTTTTATCAAAGGAAGGAAAGAGTGGATGGGGAGGGGTTGGTGGAGGATGCGTGTGTGTGAAAATGACTACTTTTAAAACACTTTCTTGACATATTTCATATTGCATAGAACTGAACTCTCACACCCAATTCCCTTTGGGGTAATACATAAACGAACTGGTCACCACTCGAAGAAACAACCCATCTAATGGTTGAATAACACGCATGAACATCTATACCCATATGTGTATTATGCGTTAGATCTTTTACTTGTATCTAGCCTAAATCCTTGTGGTAATTTTCCTGCTTCTCTTCTCAGAACACAGATTCTTGTCTTGTTGGGCAGCAACATTTTATCCAAAAAGCCCTGTAACATAATAAGTCAATTGAACTTGAATATTCCCTTAAAACGGGAAGTTGTCCAAAAAACACGTCTCGTACACAACTACTCACCCGCAAGACTCAGCATCAAAAAGGAGACTGTCCAATATCTGGGTATACCGGACGCCAGGTTCACAAGGTGCGTGGTTGCAAGGCAAATTTGCTTTAGCCGCCTGGAGTTATCGCCCATTGTTGGGCAATCACGTATTTTGAAGAGTTGTCACGGCTGCAGACTCCAGTTCTGGTGACCTCTGGTGTAATCACATGGCTTAGGGAAGGATTCGATTACTGGCCCTGGCCAGAGCTTCTCACCGTGCGACCGGGCAGAGGAGACGAAACTGGTTTACTGGGAGGTCCTGGGTTATCTGCAAGATTGGAACGAAGGGAGACGTAAGTGATCAATTTTAGGGGGAAAACAAGGAGATCTGGGAACTGATGCAGAGAAAGGTCAAGCGAGAATGAGGGTCTGCGTTCTGCAGGAAGGCATTGCGCTTACTAGAAAGAAACTGAGTTCGATTTAATTTTGTCCCCACCCTGATGTAGGATTTCGTATTCGTATAAACGGTGATTATGCTAATTTTTTCTTCTCATTTCATGCAGTTTTCATTGTGCTCTTAAGCAATCGGTAGACACACGATAACGTAAACGATAAAGATTTGCTCCATAAAGGCTACAAAGGTGTCTGTCCCTCAACAGGAAGCAACGGTTTGGTTAAGGAATTTTACTGCTACATTTAAAGCCAAGTCGCATTACTTTTTCTTCGGAGGGGACAAGCGACTATAATCAATATGCCCTTTAGAAATAGCCACTTTAACGCCTTCACTGCTGAATAAGTTCCATCAACATTTGTACCTACAAGATTAAATGTTAATTCAAGGAATATTCAAACACAGAGAATTGTTTCAGAATACGCAAAATCACAAGCTGTAACTAAAACAACTAAAACTTTTGTCAACAAGGTGAAACAATATGAGTGGAGAATACAAGCCAGAACATACGTCTACCCAGCAGTGAAGAGGTTAAAAACCCTTTCAAATACAACAACCATAAGAAGATGCAAAAACAAAAACAATTAAAGGAGTTTCACACACAAAAACATAGCCTTCTTTCCCCTTTTCAGTCCCTACTTCCACCCCCCCCCCCCGAAATCCCCCAAAACACTCTGGTAGAAAAGAATAAATGACCAGATTCAATAAATCGGCGTCCTGTATCCTTCACGTTTTTTTCAGTACCTGGTCGTCGTTGTTGAGCAAAATACTTTAACCTACTGGCTTCATGCGCGGACAGTAGAACATGACAAGTACAATGAAAAGTAAGTTTTCTTCTTCCATCCCCACAATAATGCCACGAAAACCCATGCATCACCTTTCTAAAGTTAAAGGCATCTGAGCTGAAAAACAAAAAGGAATATAATATGCCATGCATTGCGTTTTTTTAGCACTACACTTCCGGTGAAATACATCCTCATACTTCACATGTGAAATGTGAAAAAAATGAAAGAAGACATTTCACACGTGAAATATAAGCTGTGATCAAAATTTGCATAAATTACTCCGCCCGATACATTCGCCTTCTAACCTTCTGTAAGCAAAGTATAGAGTTGAATTATAGTATTCCTAGACCGTGCAATGGCAGCTGTTCTTCACTTTCTATAAAAAACTTCGCTTGAGAAGCGCGCTCTCCATGGGCGCTCAAACAAAGTGCCATCACGTCTCCCAGTCTCGCTATAGTCGAGAGTTCGCGCCCCATTTTTTTTTTTTTTACCGTTGCCCTTAATCTTAATCCAAAGTGAGTCAAAAGGTGTTTCTTAATCTTTCACCTTTTGAATCGTACATTTTCTGATTAGTTTGATTTTGTTTACGTTATTATTGTTTTAATTGGGGTTTATTTCGCGGAGAGAGAAATACAGTAACATTAACTGACGTAATAGTATGTAATAAATGTGGCTAAAAATAAAACTGGATTTTTTTTCCAGTCCTCACTTTGACTCCGATGGGCTTGAACATTTTGTTATCATGTGAGACTCGTGAATGAGGTTACTTGACCACTTGACTAGTTACTTTTGACTTTGTTCATCCTTGTCTTTTTTGTCAGCTGATATCAGTATGGCGTAAACAATGTGTATATTCGTTTTAGTGGTAGATCATGATATCCTACTTGTGAAATTGTAGATTGTAATCACTCGTTGAAAGTCATGATTACAACTTGGCAATTTCACTCGTTCTATCAATCATGATCTGCCTCCACAAGTCATGTAATAAATTATTTATAAACCATCAAAGTGTCGGGAAAATAGTCGAAAAGCCAACATAAGTTTCCGTCACGCGGAAAATGAGATCGTTTACAGCACGTCCCGCTTCTCCCACACATTTGCATACGCATATGGCCTACTTCACGGCTCACCAAGGAAACTCTTTTTTGTTGCAAAACTTGTTACAAGAGATTAATTTTATAGTGAACACATTTTTTTGCGCTGAACGTTATCAAAACATACGTTGAATAAGCAAAATATCGTGATAAGAAAACAAAAAGACGGGCTTTCTGTTCAAAGCCATATTGTCACAGCTGTAAACCTTTTAAAATTCGTAGAAACCATCCACTTGGATTTTTAAAATCAGTATTTATACATTTTTTCTAGAATACATTTAGACTCTAGCGGGTTTTTACAAAAGTACTGATCTATTAAAACAAATTGATGCATGTCATTGTGCAAAAGTTGGAGAACGTACGTTTGATAGTTGAGGAAATGATTGACAATAAGTTACATCACGAATTTTTTGTCACACTGTAGAACGCAATGTAGATGAGAAAGACAACAGCTCAGAATGGGTACATTGGAGCCGTAAGATAATCCTATCTGATACTTGCAAGAAAATAGGAAGAAATCTCGAAAACGTTTCTCTTGTTACAGCCTCTCCTGTTACATATATCTATCACAAAAGTCGAAATGAAAGTGGTGGTATACAGTTCTTGTAAGTTTTTAAAAGGTGACTGACACAGTAATCGCCAGTCTTCTAATAAATACAATTATTATTTTGGATACAAAAATAAATGAAGGTGTTTCATCTACACAAAGAAGAAACTATTTTAGGAGGCGTGTTTCGAGCTGCCAACCCGAGCCGTGAGGGATAAAACATGCCTGCAGAAAGCAAGATATACGAGAAACAATTTACCTCTTCATGGAAATCAAACTCAGGTCTTGTGCATGCGACGACAATATAATGCCTAACCAATACACCACAGACGCAAGTCACAACGGGTAAGGTGATCGATAAACAAGCATAATGAAGATGTTGGCCCAAAATACTGGAATACAGAAAGCCATATGCTTCTAATTAATGTTCCGGAACATGATTACCTCAAACGGTTCACACATATTATTCATCAGCCCCTGATTAATAGTGATTTTTTTTGGTGACGGTTCATTTTACTGTTAGGAGATAAGAGAAAGGGCTAACTTATTGTATCTCCAAACGTTGCCCCCCAAAGCCCAATGGTTTCATTTGGCATTAGAAAATTCGAGGATCCCCTTCCCAATCCTGGCCACTGAGATTAGCTTTATTGATTTTCCTGGCGTAATGAAATGTACATTGCCAAATACAATAAATAATTGAGGACACGCGATTTGTTTTTATCTGTTATTAGGGGTGCGGTCAAGCTTACCTTCAGAGGACGAAAGACAACAGATAGAATAGGTCCTGCGAAGGGGACCACGGACTCTGATGAACGATAAAAATCTTCGCAGAGCGAAAAGAGTATGAGCTGAGCTTTGTGCGTTTTGTTCGTTCGTTGGTGTCGATAGGGGTCTGCAGGGGCATAAATATGTATACGTGTTTTCGTACAAACTGTAATTATCTTGATTCAGAGTTTCACATTATATTGCGATGATGGAAGCAACAGAAAAAGCCACTCTAAATTCTTGTTTCATCAAAGCGTTGAGTTTTTTTTGTGTAGTTTGACATCAGGCAGTCTTTGCTGTTATTATCTACTAACGGGTATCAGCAAAAAAGGACTCGTTTAAATGGCAATAACTCAGTCACCTTTCAACCAATTTTCAGCAAAACTTTGAGCAATTGTAATCTAACTAAGGAGGCCTCATATTCACAAATGTGTACAACATTTATTCACAGTTTGAAAAATATGATGTGTTAAAAATTCAACCAAAATTGAATGAATCGCAAAATTTTGCAACTTTTTATATGAACCACTTGTGTATTTTGCGCATTGAAGAATACATTTATATAAAATTGATACTGCCAAATAAATTCAAGGAAGGTGGTTGCTATTCATGTTTTATTCCCCAGGTGTTAACCATGTCTGTCAAGACAAGCTTGAATATTTCACTGGAGATTTTTAATAAACCTATGGCATGTATCTACGTCGATTCTTTAGACATCCTGTTCACCTTCACCTCACCTTCACCTATCCCCTAAGCTGGATATGCGTCGGGGTGTTTTTGAAGATTTGGCCCCCAGCTTCCTCCACTCCTTCCGGTTTTCAGCTTTTCTGAGCGTGTCGTTGAGTTCCAGGTCTCTCCGTTCCTTGATGTTGTCCCCCCAACTTTTCTTCGGTCTGCCTCTGCTCCTTTTTTCATGGACACTGCTTTGCAGGATCATCTTGGCAAGGCCGAATGAACGGGTGATGTGTCCATACCATTGAAGTTTGCGTTTCCTAACCAGAGTGAAAAGGTCAGCATATGGTCCGACTTCCTTTTTGATTCGCTGTTTAACTTCATCCCTTGGGGTGTGATCTTTGTATGAGATACCAAGGAATTTTCGGAAGCATCTCATATCCACAGCTTTGATCCTTCTTTCAAGGTCTGTATTCAAGGTCCAGGTTTCACACGCATACAAAAGTACTGGCACGACCAGGGAATGCATCAGTCTGATCTATGACGGTTATATTTCTGTCGTTCCAGAACATCCTGTTCAATATTGATTAAATACTGTTTAATTGTTTGTGGTTTGTTTCTGTAGACTTTGTCTGTAAACAAAAAACAAAACAAAAAACAAAAACAACCCCAACAAAGAACCCCCACATAACCCCTCCCCCCAAAAAACAAACAAACAAACACACACACAAAAAACAACAACACCAAACAAAAGAAATCCCTACTCCAAAGGTACTAATTGAGTCAGTTCAAGTCGATCGAATGCGGTGACCATTTATTAGTGAACGTTTGGCTTGTAAATCGTTTCCCAAACCTTACTTGCAACCATGCAAGGTCCACTATTGCCGTGTAGGGTGTGACCCCATCCCATTGGAACCTGGCTTCCTCAACAGCACAACACTTCTCCTTCATAATTTTTCCTATACTTTCTCACCATGTTAAGATGTTTTCGTATATCCATTTTATGTGATTGACGGTTATGGTTATACCGTTATCCTCTTGAAACCAGAACGAACGGGTAGCTGGATGCTTTTGAGAAGTAAAGGTTTGAGTATTGCCTAATTCTGGCTGAAATTTAAAAAAACAAACAAACAATGCACCCCCCACACAAAAACAACCCTAAAACAATACAACAACAGCAACAACAAAAACAAAAACTTAATTTCTCTCGTACACGTGGATTGCTTTTCCTCATATTGATCTCCTTTTCTTTGCATTATATCTATTTAACGTTTCGTTAAAATTGACGAAATTACGTCCAAGTTATTGTCATTAACGTAGATTCTTTTTTAAATGTTTTTTTTTATAGATACTGTGCAGTATCGAATCTATGCAGGTTCTGTTAGTTTCAGAAGTTCACCAGTGGGCCTGTTTTTAACATGACCGCATTTTTGTCTGTTTCTGGTCGCCCCAGTTCGCTTGATGACATTAAGCGTGGGCAATGATAGTAAATATGTTATGTACTATCTTTAGCATGGGTCTCAAACGGGGTAGATGTCACGATATCGATGCCTCGTACGAAAATAAAGAGTCTACGTAACAAGAGGGTCCACTCCTCTCTTAGAGCCAATTAAAAAAGTGTCCTCAAAATTCGGTGGCGCGCTCTTCACAAATGCGCACCCTTTGCGACTTTGCGAACAGAGTTACCCTACTTGTGTTAAAAAAAATCAAAGTGAAACTAACAATTTTTTAATAAATAAGAATTCAAATGTCCAAAGAACGCTTTAAAAAAAAAAATGGATACGCTGACACAATCCGGAGGAGGTGACTGTTTTCTTCATTTAATTTGACTTAAGAATGAAAGGCGAGAGGTCATTAAAATTTTTAAAAAACCCTTTAAACTCAGCACTGAACGAACCCGAAAAGCTGATGAACAGCAGTCGATCTGCGCATGCAAGGAGATGCTATTCCTATTCTTCTTCTGGAGAAAGGAAAGAGAGCTTCAAAACAGACTGCAGTGCCATCTGAAGCAAAGAGCGGACTTCCGGCGGACATTTTTTTGGCTGAATGGACCATCTTTGACGAAAATCAACATCGGATAAGTGGGTCGATATTCGGTTGTTATCATTGTTGTTGTTTTTTTTAAATGAAAAAGACCTGCAAAAATGAAATAGTGACCACACTTTGAGGTTCTCCTAAATGCCTTTCAGTTGCTTCCAAATTAATTCTCACGAAAGATTCAAGAGACACGAGACCATCTTGACCATTACAAAATGTGACACTATAGTTGTCAAAAGAACATACGCCGGCTACTTTTTTAAAGATTTTCTTTCCTTTCACAGGAATTTGTTATCAATCTAATCTTATCTGTCTTCACATTATGATTATGTTTTGAGTATACCAAGGATGAAATACATTAATAACCATGAAAGCTGGAACTATTCGGATTTCAAACTGTAGGAGTAAACCGCGATAAAAGACCTTCAGGCAGTATGAAGAGGGGAATTCCATACTCTCACTACGAAACATGAACATGAATCAGAACACTTAACTACGAAAGGAAAAACAGCAGCCAGCCAATCTCATCGTCAAGAGAAACAAACCATCTATCTTTGTCGGTTACAGTGCTTTATGCGTTTCTTTGATTTATTTCTTTTGAGGGCTACAAAGGGATACAATGATCATGTCAGCCGGTGGTAGTAGCGGTCTGGTGATGGATGAAGCCGGGGTCGAATGAGCAGAGAGAGAGAGAGAGAGAGAAAAAGAGAGAGAGAGAGAGAGAGAGAGAGAGAGAGAGAGAGGGAGAGGGAGGGAGAGAGAGATAGATAGATAGATAGATAGATAGATAGATAGAGAGAGAGAGAGAGAGAGAGAGAGAGAGAGAGAGAGAGAGAGAGAGAGAGGGGGGGAATATCACAGCGGTCGAATCTTTTTATATCGACGTCTTCCAGCCGTTCGCTGCAAGAAAACACGGGAAGAAGTAATTCTTTTTTTTGACAAAGGCGTTACATGGAGTCAAAGAAAAAAAAAACGGAGCAAAAAACAACAACAACAACAACAACAACAACAACAACAACAACAACAACAACAACAACAACAACAGCAATAAACAAATATAACAACAATATTAAAAATTTTTAAAGCCCTTGAAAAATCTGAATTGTTGACCCAATTGTTTGATAATATCTTGCTTTTCGGTGAAAAGTCTCATTTCTGGTGTTGCTGTATATTTAGATAACCTTATTTTGTGTAATTTGAGCTTGGTAAATTATTTTGGTTGTTTTGAGGTAAGTAGCAGTTTTTTTGGGGTGAAAATATCACTTCTATAGCTATTTCGATTTAGCCTAGTCTCTATACTTTGGGAGGGCATACTCTATTGAAAGTACCATGAATGTACTATGAGTCTGAGACCATACCAACATTACATGAGGCCCCGTGCATACAAACAAAATATTTCTACTCGTTGGACGACTGCCAAGTGTGACGTCACTAAGACTTGGCTGAGAACAGCGACGAACGGGCCAAAACAGTCTCATCTGCATACTCGCAGCAGCAGAGCGACGAGTGGAGATTTTCCTACTGTGCACAGAGTCTTACAGGACTTTGCTGGGTAAAGCTTAAGCAGATGGGCTCTGTATCTCAGTGTTAAGTGGAGACGTATTGTAAAATGATGAGTTGCACGTAACCGTTAAACCGGCCTCTGTGGCGAGGCAGTTATAAAGAGGTTCCATCGTCGCGCACAAAAGCCTTAGCTCGATTCCCGTGTGGGGAACATTTCTATCGAGTAACTCGGCCTTTCTATTTTGACGTTGTATCCCTTTCAGTAGCATAGTTTGGCCCTGACAGGCAGGGTCAAAGCCGACCTTTTAAATGGTCTAAATGGTTCCGATGAGGGTGTAAAAGTACTTTCGTGTGAAAACGGAATCTTTTAGTCTTCAAATACTAAAGGTTCAACTCTGTACAACATTGTATTTGTAGGGAAGCGCGCCCGTTATCGATGTATGCCAAGTAACTACACTTATCGTTAAAAACAAGTCATGTCATTGAGAAAGGCGGCGAGGTTGTGAATGGATAAAATCTGACATAGCGTAAATAATAGCTACATAGTGAAATTTCCTTCGTTACAGATGCGTATACAATCATACAATATAGCCTAAAACATGCTTTGTCTTAATCCGGCAAGGGCAAAAGCATTTTCAATGTAACTTGCGTCAGGCTAACTTTCAATGAAATTGTAACTGTGTGATTTTTGTTTAAGAAAAGTTAAACTTTATTGATTTCGTCTGTCTATCTGTTCATGAGTATCCCGGGTTGTTATTTCTTTATCTATCTATCTATATTTATTTCTGTCAGCACGAACGTCCCTCCATCCATCCGTCTGGCTATTCATTAGTCTGTCTCTGTTTTCCCCATTTCCGTCTTCTTTCTGTTCTGCTTTCTGTCTGCCTGTCTGCCATGTTTCAAACATTTTGCTTCGTTTCTGAAAAAAGCCTGAAGAACGTAAAGTGCATCCATAATCCTAGATCTGTCATTACCGAATATCGATCATGGAGTTCAAAAGACAGAATCGTTTACTGTCACATGCAGGGGCTTCTGCTAGTCCGTATTGGCTCTCCAAACGTCCGCAAAACCGGAACTTGCGTCCTCATTTGAATGTTATCTGCTGCTTCCGGGCTTGTGACGACTCATTGCAGACGACACCGAGAGAGCCCTGGAAATAGAAAGTAGAGCTAAAGAAACCACAGAAAGACGTTAATTGCGCCGATGTAAAACATAGGATGGAAGGGCAATGGGCGCATGTTATATATTTTTTTCAGAAGGGATGAGATGTTAGGGAAAGGGAGGAGAAAATTGTCAAACATGAACCTCCCTCCCTCCTAGAACCACCATCCCTGCAACAAACAATAACAACAACAAACTATTTTCTGCATACTTAATCGTGTTTATTTTTGTATTTATCCCTTTCACAATTTGAGGAGAAGGAGACAGGTTAAGTATAGGAAGAAATTGACTTTTTGAACAAAACACTCACTAGGATGTAAATGAAATTTAGAAAGGTAAATAATATAACGTTAATTTTGTCTAAGTCCAAGCCAGTGAATTAAAGAAAAATATTTATGGAGTGAGCTTTTTAAAAATAACCCATCGTGAGTTGAGATGTACCACTACTGAGAGTTCCTCCTTGCTTCCGTATGACGTTTGGTCGCTTTTAAGCACAAGGGGGCTATCCCGAAAAATACTGTCTTGAGAAAATCGAAGGTAAAGTTTTTGTCCCTTGTTCAGTTTCTTTAGAAGACAAGGAGATTTCCTCTATAACCAAACACATTTGCACACCAATGAAATCAAACCTCCTGTAGGTAGGGTAATGCCCACTTTTGGTGTTGGTCAAGATATCTGGGAACTCTCAAAATCTGAGTTAGTCCGTTTGTCCTTAAAAACGACAATTTTTACTTTCTATTCTGTTGTACCTGGTCTTACCACCCTAGCATTACATCAACAGAAAGTAATACAAGAATGATACACCATTTCGCGATTGTACTTAATGCATTAATTTCCCGTCTTTCTGTACGCAACGGTCGCTCGTGCTCTAATCTAGTGCTTGCTACCTTGGCGATAAAGCCCCCTCGTGGAAGATTTGGTAATTTTGGTTGGCGGCGGGGATCATTCGCGTAGTGGCAGTTATCGTTTAACGCCCCCCCCCTCCCAATTAAAAATAATTGTAGTGGGTGCTACGTAAATTCTAGCCCCTTAAAGGTGGCAAAAGTGGACGCTGGCTATAATAATCTAGCATAAGGCTTTTGTCAGAATGAGCATAGATGTGTGTTGCTCTTAGAGTATGTATCTGTATATAACTCCAAAGGTCTAGTATTTAAATTCCTGCATGTGGTTGAATTATGCATTTGGTGTAAATGTACTTTTTGTCAGCTTTACTTCTCCTTTCATATTGGATTTCAATGAGAGTAATATAAATATGATTTACATTTTTTAAAATGTATACCTGCATGTATTTTTATGGTCCTGTACAACCAAGGAAAATTTCCCTCTGTGATAATAAAGTACTATCCTAACTTATCTTATCTTATCTTATCTTATCTTATCTTAAAAGGATTGGCAAGCACGGTTCTAGTCTATAAATATGTTTAGATTTCGCTAAAACACATTGGTTTATACATTCACTCAAAAGTTCATAGATTAGCAAAACCTATGACTTGTTTGCCATTTTATAAACGCCATCAAAAGCAAAAAACCCCACGAGTATTATTTGTTTCTTTTCTCTCCTTGCATAGCAATAAAAAACGTATTAAAATGTGATACTTGGTAAAGCGATAGGGTGAAAGGAACTTTTGCCTAAAGGAAGAGAAACTTAAGTCTTTCTTTAGCCCCCCACGGGCAACAAGATCGATCTTCTGAAAAAAGATAACGCTTGTAATTTTCCTCACACTCGTGAAAACAAATGACATAAAGCGACAGGGCAAAAAAGTGAGGAACTCTCTGATCCGACCGCTGTGTGTGAAGGATGGAAGTTATCGGGAATTTCAGGATAATGCTCACGGAAAGCGAGTAAATGAGATAGCAGTGATCGATGGTTCAATCGAAAAGGATGACAGGTGATTGATATCATCTTAAAAGAAAAAATAAACCCAACATCTTTCTCTCTGTCTTCGGCTCTGAAGGAGGAAAAGCTTGGATACGTTGGGTAGAGCTCGGAATCTTATTTAGCTTTACTTTATCTGTCTCTTGTACCGTGAGGTATGGCGGGGAGATGGGGGCACCGGGCTTTGGAGAGCTGGGCATAGCTGATAGAAACAGACACAGAAATAGCTTCATTTGTATTTATCTTCTTTTTCCTTTGCTGGTTTTGCCCTTAACTTTTGTGTGTTTGTCGGCAAGAATTTTAAACTGTTGCTGCCGTTATTGCTTTGCTATGCTGCTGCCTTTCACGTAGCTAATGGAAATTAAATACATCTGAGGTTATTGAACTCTGGGAAAGAATTTAAAAGCTGTCACTGTCTTTAGGGCTTAGATGTGTTGTTGCTTGTGTAAGGCCAGGGGGCAAGAGGAAATTAAATATAATATTTGAAGACAATACGGTGTCGACGTTATCCCATTCTAAAGATGTGTTCATAAGAAAGAATACGGGAGCTTTTGCTGTTGTTTTGTTACCTTTGAAGGGACTGTGGCTAATGAAAATGGAAAACATTAGAAGTTAAAAAAAATCTTCTTTTAAGAGCATGATAGGGAGAAACATAATAACGAGACAGGGTTGAAGGAGAAAAAGGAGGAAAGGTTTTGAGATTTAAAAATGAGATTAAAGCTCCATCATATCTTTGGTTATAACATTGGTTATTTTTATCAGGGCCTGTAAGGTAAAGTGCATAGAGGCATAGAGCATGATGTTGAGGGTGGATATGCGCTATATAATGCAATTGTTATTATTATTAATAT